AAGAGAGTGCATCTCTTGCTTAAACTTCTCACACTTTGCAAATCAAAATATTCCAATGCATGACTTCAATCATCTCTCCATCATAACACAAGGTACAGTGGCAAACGGTACGTAAATATTACACAGCCTCATTCAATTTCTACATTGCCTCAACCGTATCCATCTTAAGGAATAATCATTCCTGACTAAAGGACCATCCACTTCTACAGCAGTGGATTGCTTTTTTGCTAGTCAGTAACAAAAGGTGGTGTACACGGACGCACAATGAGCAATGCCCACACTACCCTGAACTGAGAACAAGAAAACTTCAGTTTCTGGCTTATGAGACATATAGGGCTAAGTAACATATCTGGGCAACTTTAACTTGCCCTTATTGAACAAAGCCTTTTCTGTGCAGCTCTGGATTCCTATGGCCTTGGATTGATCAGGATGGGAGTGACCTACACCTGCCCAAAAGACAAGTATTTAGCCTGCTTTTTAGTAAAAAATGCTCCCTTTGCTAAATTTCAAAACTCTGGACCCTTTTTCCTCTCCTCTCATGCTTACATTTAGTTTACATTTGCCGTTTGGTTTCTCAGGACACACACAGAATTTTTTTCTTTTGATCCTTTCCAGGGAGAGGCAGACTGCTCAATGTCTTGCCCCTCTCCCTCATGACTCTGGCCAGCTCTCAGGGTGGGGTGTGAGGGGCAGAGCCAGGGTTTCCTTTCCTCATTTTCAGCTTTGCATGCTGCTAGATTGAACATTCTGGAAGAGTGTGAGTTTCCATAAGAAACCTTTTACCCTGAAATAAGAAAGATCCATTTTTTAATTAATTAATTAACATTGTAGAGTACAAGATCTTGCACAGTGGGACCCAGCATAGCATCTCCAAAACCAGAAAGCTGGATCAGACTGGGGCTTTGGATTCTACTCCTATGTAATAAAATAGTGCTGGATTTTTTTATTAGTATTTTTTGAACTCTGCAACAAGATACAGCTCTGACTCTATTCTCACTAAACAAAGGAAAACTGTTCATTTTTGTCAGACCAGCACTTTGAAATTCCCCAAGATAAGACACATAAATAAATGAAGAATTATACTTGGCAATGAGTTTGGCATCAGACTTTAAATGTTTCATAGTTCTGGGCTGAGGAAATAAGTTGAGCAAAGTCTTCAGAACCTTTCCGGAGATGTACTCGGGGTGTTTGGATATACTTGACAGCACCATGTTCAAAGGAGGAAAAAAGAGGAAATTGCTTATTCGAAACATGAGACAGGGTTGCACCATGTGACATGCCTGACATTTAAGTGATAACAGTGTTGTGCATATGCTCTTTTGGCTTTGGTCTGACACCTAGGCTCTGCCATGGTGCAACTTAGCACTGTCATGATACAGCCTTGATGACTAAACTCAGAGAGATGTGACTTACCACTCGTTTCAGGAACATATGGGCCACAGATCACCCAGCCTCTGTCGCAGGCTGGGGAAACATATAGCGTCTCATATAGCAAAGACCCTGCAAGTTCTCCAGCTGCACAAGGTGGCTGTGCAGGCTGCACCACGCTTCGGGATGCCATTTGCATTAGAGAAAATTGTGGCTAATTAGAAATAAACACAGAAATGCTTGATTTACAAAGAAATGTGTGATTTTTGCCAGCTTTTTTTTTTTTTTTTTCACTCTCTTTAACGTAACATTCACAGAATACACTGATCATGCTAATGCTTTCACTATATTCATTAATAAGGACAATTTACATTTATATAGCACCTCTCTTAGTTAAGAATTCCAAAGCTTTCAGCAAAATATACACAAAAAATTACATCTATTTCACTGAATATAGTCTTTGTCGGAATGAAAATCAACAATTGTGAAGCAGTGCAGAAGAACGTTACACAACAGTTGCATATAAGACACAAAGCCAATCTCCCCAAAATCCAAAGCAAAAACCCCTCTGAGCTGCCAGATGCACGTGTAGGTAAAGGGGACGTTAGTATGCAAGCAGCAATGTGAAGCAGGTCTGTGTGCGCCCTGAGGGGCAGTGCTCGGAGGCAGCAAACATGCTTCACAGTGATTAAAGCAACAGACTTCATACATGTGCAGCCCATTGCTTTTCTGCATACTGAGGGAGATTCTCAGTTTAAACTGCAAATCTACTGAGAAGAATGAACCAGGAACACTCGATGGGATTCTGGTGATGAGAAAAAGGGAAGATGAGTGTGTGCAAATTGTGAACAGCACTCATCTGTTCACTAAGCTTCTTACTTTACAAATGGTCTCAAAATTTTAAAATCCATTAGTTATGTTAATACGTTCTTCTGCAAAAATAAAATGAAATAAAAATTAACTTCTTGTTTCAAATGATGAGTTTTAATTCTGTATCATAATGACATATAACCGGAATTTCCAGACCAAAATGAAATAATCCATTCTCTCTGTGTCGAAATCCCCCTTCTACCCCACAACCCATTTACTTTAGTCACTGATCAAGTCTCCACACACTACGTTACAAGTTGAAAGTCAGAGGTGGGAGAAAAAGCCATCCATCTAAAGTAAAATTAATAGCAACACTTTGAGAGAGAGCATGCATGCGTTAGTAAGACCAAAGCATGAGCTATTACATGACAAATGTGTTGATAAATGTTCAGCCCTGCAAACACAAAATAACTTTGGTTTGGCTAATAAGCATCCATTATAGCCCTTTCCCATCATTTTAAGGCAGACAAGGTAGTTTTCATACTTGACCCTTGAAAGCAGATTTGTTTTTGTAATTAACATGTTATCCAGGGGTTTTTCTTTCCACATCTCTTTCTCCTTTCAATACTCTCCCTCTAGAACAGAAAGATTTCCTTGCCTGAAGTTGCCACTATATTCAACAACTGCTGGCTGAGACCTCAGGACCCGCTGCATAAATTCACGTAGAATTATTCACGTTTGGCACATTTTTGCTGGCGAATAACAACAACATTTTGTCTCTGAGACAAAGGGAAGAAAGATTTAAAAAAAGAACAAAGGCAGCCTAATAAGAATCCCACATTTCCTATTTTTTCCTAATCTGGTTAAACAGCCTCTCTAAGCCTGAAGAATTCAACAAAGCCAAGTTGTTGTGGACTGTTTGTCTTTAGTACAGAATCAACACAGATGGAACAGTCTCTCAGTGTGGCTTCTGATCACAGGATCAGATATGAGGTAAATTTGCTTGCCTGTTAGATGTTTTGGTTTTATTTTTTCACTGAGTTATCATGTTATCATGCAATTACAGATAAAACAACACTAAAATCCAGGATCCCAAACCTGGTTGGGACTTCAATCTTGTCCACACAGCAAGTCAAGAGTTCATTCAGTGTAATTACAACCACAGTACAAACAATCGTATAAAAAAGAAAAGGCCAGAGGGAAAGACTTGAGCATTTCTTTTTGCTGCATGGAAAAACAATGTATAGACCACACTTGATGACATTTTTAAAATGTAAAGCTACAAAGTCCTGTTAAAACTGAAATTATGAAGCAACCTTTATGACAATATCTTACTCCAACTTAGTTATATCTGTATATATTTATATTTGAAAAATACATGAACCTAAATTGAGAATCCCTCCTACTATGAATTCCCCGATCTTTGTTTATTGAGTTAGTATGAACTCAGTTTCCAATCCCTTCACTATACATAAATGTTCGTGTGACTTAAGCAACAATTGCCTCAAGACTTTTCTAGTAAAGCAAAACCCTCTAGATGGCAAAAAGCTGCAATCACTATGTCTTTATTTCACCCTCTTCACTCTTACGCTGTAGGGGAAGAGTTAATAATGTGGAAGAAAAAAATCAGCAATGTCGTTTTGTTTGGAAAGATCTCTACCATACTGTATTTAGGTGAAAAAAAGAGATACTTGGCCCATTCCCCACTACAAACTCAGATTTTTGTCAGAAGTCTTCTATTACTATTTATAACAATGACTCAGTAGACATTTTTAAAGTACTATGATGCCACAAACTGAAAACACTCCTGTATCTGTGCTCATATATTTCTCCAAAATTAACAAGTGTGGTATCACATAGCACAGATTGAGACTATGGGTAGACGTTACAGATTGTAATATGAACTCTAAGCGTGAACAATTCCTCGAGTCCCCCATGTCTTACTCTGTCAGCTCTTCTTTTCACATAGACTTGTATATCTTGCCTACAGACTCATAGGCTGGTTTTAAAAAACTCAACATTGATATATTAATGCCATGACAGTAATGAAGTCTTACGCTCTTTTAGCCCCAAATTCCAGATGCAACCAGTTTTAAAATCATCCTAATAGTGGGTACATCATCAACTCAAAGGAATTTCTGTATTCTTTTTAACCCAGGGAAAAACTTGACCATCTCTCTTTAATGCTATCAACCTGGAAGCTTGACAGTAAGGATTAAAAATTGCTCTTTCCTTCCCACTTGGTTATTGGAAAGGCTGTGAAAGGCAATCAGTCTTGTGAAGCCACACTTCACAGTCTGCATAAAAATGCCATGATTCCCAGTCCTCTCCCCAACCTAATTGAAACTGCGTAATATCACACAGCTGGGGAAAACTAAACCATAAACATATGCAATTTATCATGCTATCATACAAAACCTGTTACTAACAGGCACTTGATGATCAACAGGATCGAAAGGGATCTGAAAACAAAGATTATTTTTGCTGCAGGGTAAGAACTTTTCCCAATTGAAATAGGGAAAAACACTCTCTCAGCAGTGCAGGAATTGGACTAGAGTCAGTTCATTCATTCTGTTTGTGAAATATGGACTTTTCTTTAATGATTTCTGTTTGACTGCTGCCTTGCTCAAATGCTTTGGGGGTACTGCTGCAGCAAATCATGGCTTTGGTTAGGAAGAAATCCATGGCTTTCTAGTCACTAAATACAGGGGTTTGGGGCATTTGAACAGCCTCCTGCCTCCTAGCCCCAGGCTCCCTCCTCACCAAGCTATCATTGTTATGATATCACCAAGCTATCACCCAATGCTGGGTGGCAATATTACCTGTCACCAGGAGTCTGTGGATAGTGTTGCTTGTTTATTTTTGCATACAGTCCTTCCAAGTGCTCCCTCTCCATTGGTGCTGAAGAAGAATCACGTGGAAATACAAAGGTTTCTGCTACTGCTGGTGATGATGGCCTGTAGACGCTTGCTGCTGGATAAGTCTCTCGGAAGTGGTTTACTCTGGCATAATTTGGATCCGTCTCATCATCATCAATGTCAGGTCCTCCAGGACCAGTAGAATAATCACTCAGGCCTCTCAGCTGCTTTTGCCGTAACTCCTGATGCTTTGCACCAATCCTTACAATGGAAAAGAAAGAACAAATAGACAGTTGGATGTGCTTCAACAGCAATCACAGACACTGATTCATCACAGAAATTTGGAGTGCCAACCCTGAACCCAACTGTTTGGACTGGTCAGCATTCTGATGAAAAAAAATAATGCTGAATGTAGTGTGGCTTTTCACAAGTGTGTATGTGCATGTGTGTGTGCATGAACATATAAAGTCTTAATTCCACACCTATCCTCCACTTTGCAGTTAATATACCTAACCTAATCCTGAAACTTTTCATCTAAATTAGCCAGGAAAATTGTTACTGCCCCTTGGTCACTTGAGCCACTAGATTTTCCTAAATACATTAACTTGTGAAAAGTGGATTAAATGTGAAAGTAAATGGGGAGATGGCACAGTTGTCTCAAATCAAAAGACCACAGTTAATTTGCTGAAGATTTAATTTTTTAATTTAATTTTATTTTATTTTGGCTACATAAATGTGAAAATCATGCCTTATTATACAGGGGATAGGAACAAAGTAAAACAGCAGAGAAATTAATAGAAACCTGACAGAGATGAATTGGTACATATAAGTGAATTAAAGACTATTACTGGCAGTACTCCACGATGATAAAGCCTTAAGTGGTATTACAAAATGCTGCTGCTAATCAGGGCCACTGAGTAATCACTTTGGAATAGTAAAACATATTCAGGTAAATTTCAAACTCAGCTGATATTCAATGATTCAACATTCAGGCTGGTGAAAAAAAAACCTATAGCAAGGCTCTGTGAGCATTCAACTTCTCTTAACTGCTCAGCTACTCTTCAACACAGTGTAATTAAATGCAGTGAGATGGATCTGGCAAAATGCTGACCACAGTATGTAATAAATAGCATTTACAGAAAAAAACGGAGCATGAAGGAAGAAACAAAGAATTGAAGACAGACACAGAGATGCAGTGCCTGACAGAAGTAGTCAACGTTTGCTGTTGACTGTATCTGAAGTACATCACAGAAAGCATCACAGAAAGAACAGTATCATTTGTACCATAAGAGAATAAGTAATAAGCGTCTAGCAGATTTGGTTATCCCCGTAAAGCATAATGGCCTCAGCACTCTGCACAGTGAAAAATGAAGATGTTCTGGAGAAAGTCTTTAGAAGACATGGAGAAAATGGTTCCCTAAAGAAACAGAGGTGAGCACATTGGGAGTTTCCAGTCTGACAGACAGGAGCTATTAAGTGCAGAATGGGATTCATACTGTTTATTTTGTTTCATTAGAATTGCACAGTCAAAAAGAATGCTAATACTCTTCAAATAATTTATAGCTAAAAAGGTTCACAAATAATTAAAATGAGAACAACAAGCTTTCTACACATAAACTTGAGTACATCAAAGTCTATCACACCTGCTTTCCAGTTACACCTCTCCATTGACTGTGCTAGCATGTATCTAGAGGTGATGCTAGTTTTTATTGCTTAAAATGCAGTCATACTTTACAGTAGGATGGGCCTGCATATGATACAGTCCTGGTCAGTCAGGGGGATGCCCACTGTCCACTCGGCCCTTCCTCAGTGAAGTAGATGACCTTTCTCCTCCCTAGTACTCGAGTAGTGGTATGCCCCATCTTGAGTACTGTGTGCAGTTTTGGGCACCTCGATATAAGAAGGACATCAAATTATTAGAGTGTGTCCAGAGGAGGGTGACTAAGATGGTGAAAGGCCTCCAGGGCAAGACTTAGAAAGAGTGGCTGAGTTTACTTGGTTTGTTCAGCTTGGAGAAGAGAAGGCTGAAGGGGGACTTCACTGCAGGCTGTAACTTCTTCAAGGAAGGCAGTGGAGGGGGAGGTGCTGATCTCCTTTCTCTGGTGACCAGTGATAGGACACAAGGAAATAGAATGGAGCTATGTCACGGAAAGTTCAGATTTGACATCAGGAAAAGGTTTTTCACTGAGAGGGTGGTGGTCAGTCACTGGAACAGGCTCCCCAGGGAAGTGGTCATAGCACCAAGCCTGTCAAAAGTTCAAGAAGCATCTGGACAATGGTCTTAGTCATATGGTTTAGTTTTAGGTTGTCCTGTGAGGAGCATGGAGTTGGATTTGATAATCCTTATGGGTCCCTTCCAACTTGAGATATTCTATGATTCTATGAAATATTTCACTATAAAGACTATGTGAGAGAATATCTTCCCAACACACCATTTCCGCTTTTTCCTCAAGTTCCTGATCTCAGCCCAGTTAGTTAATTTTCATTTTCTTAAGATATCAGTAAAATTACTCACAAAGCCTTAATATAATTTACTACAGTAATTCTTAGAAATGAAGGGATGATAAGAAGAAATAAGCTACAATGCATCTATATCCTTAACACCTCTCAGACTTCTACACTGAGGCTTCCTCAGAATTCCTAAGAATTTCTCCTTTTTTCTTCCCAGATGTTCTTTTCCCCACACAATCACCTCCTCCTTCTGTAACCTTCACTCCATTTCTCTTTTGCTTCAGGTTTTTATTCCACACATACTCCCCATTTTGAGTTGAAACGGTGGCCTGGGTCAGAATAGGAGCTATCCTCAAGTGCAACCTCTCCCAGGGTAAGACAGTGTCTTGATGAAGTGGCAGACTTTAAAATGAGCCTTTGATTCTGCACAGTTCATATGGAATCTTACGGAGGGCATAGCCTGGTGTCAGTATGTGATAAATTCAGTTAGTAAGGCACATATTCTCTCATTTTACTGTCAATTGCACTGGCTTAGCTGGCTAATGGCTTCTTGGGGCAGTGAGAGTTTAATGGCGTTTGTGGAACAATGGGACATACAACTTATTCTTTTTATTCTAAAGCAATGAACAGTGGCACGGGGGAAAAGTCAACACTGAGGAGCTGTATATGAAAACAGAAACTGAAAACAGTGGTCAGCTTGCATTTCTGTCTAAACCACAAACCATTGCTAGCAAATGAGTAATAATTAGAGAGCAGCTGAAAGTGTACAAAGCCTTTCCAAGGGTTTGTGAATAAAGATAAAAGAGAGATTATGTAGCAGGGAGTGGTGGAGGGAACCTGTCTTCCCATGTCCATGAGTGAAACACCACATCCATTGTTCTCACAAAGGAATTTGAGGCAAAGTTATCACTCGGTCTATTCACATAAACCCCAGCCTTTTCAGGTAGCTCATCATCCAAGAGCACTCGTACTACAAGGATGGGGTGGATTTCCATTGCAAATAAGGCCTCAGACATCAATGAAGCAGGGTGGGAGGGAGGTCTACACTGCTGTTTTCCATCTTTTATACATACAGGCACTTCAAGAGAAACCCTCTTGCAGAAGGATTAATATTTTACATGTCCCACATGGGATTATGTCAGAAATGTAAAAACGAAGGCACTATCTTTGTTTTCTAAAAAAATCACACAAGTAACTGTTAGCTCCTGCACCCAATAACTGTCAGTTTAGTAGTAGTCCTTGCCGCCAATTATCTTCCTGCTCTTCTACTAAAATGCACAAAGCACTTTGAGATTGTTGCTATCTTCCAGATTAACTCTGCAAAAAGGAATGAATGTTCTTAAAATTCTGGGAGACCATGGAGGGCTTCACCCTCAATTAGTGACCAAAAAAGCCTAAACACAGACATCAGTGCAGGGATGTATCATATGAGGTACGAGTTTTATGGCACACACAGGTTCATGTGGGATGATGCAGGCAGAAAAACAGAAGGACTCTGCATTTCAAAGAATGTTCTTAACACACGTTAGAGCAGAAGGCATGGCACACAGTCCCAAGGAGAGTCACAGCAGTTTCTCAGAAAATGATGAGCCATAATGTTCTTTAGACCAATACATCACCTGTCCCTGAGGTATTTAAGACCTATTTGAAAGCAAGAGTAGTGCAGCACAGCAGCATCACGTGAATCTTGCTTTCATGTCTGACAGTGAGAGTAATTTGTCCTGCTATCAATACTGGTATATTCTGCACAACAAAAGCTAGAATTAGGTCACCACAATTTTCTTTTGTTCCTGTGAATAAGCCTAGCTTCTTCAACTTCTTCTGAATGCAATCTTCAATCGCTGCCACTATTATAAGTCGACCTGCTCAAGAACAATTATTTCCGTTCTATATTATATGGACCAGTCAATACCGGGTTATGTGAAATTCTTCAGAATCAATGTTTCATCTTTTCAATATGGCTATTATAATTGTATTAATATTTTTTGTTTCCTTTCTGCTCTTCTACATAAATCTATAGAATTTGTTCAGTGATCTTTTTCATTTCAATCCAAATGTTCAAATATAGGGAAATAAACTATCACATGGCTGGTTTTTCTTTCTTTCTATTTATCTGTCCTTCCATGCCTTCTCTTACGTTTTTCATCTTTGAAGTTTCTTTGTATTTTTGTGAAGTTTTAAATATCCTCACCGTATTTCAGCATAATCTTTTCACCCAGTTTTAAAGCAGTCTTTTCTACAGCACATCCCAGTAGGTACCCAGGAATTCTTTACTGAGGCAGAAAAAATGAATGTGTTGTTCCTTACATCATTCCTAGAATGTTCTGCCAACCTTGCTAAGCAGACTACTTCTGCTATATCCCACTTCAGTAATTTACCATTTCTGCACCTTGCTCTGCATTCATCCCTATCTGAAACAGCAGTATTTTTACTCCCCATCACAAAAAAATAACCAACAAAAAACTCTTCCAAATCAAGACATAGCAACCAGATTATTCAACAAGCAATTACTAAAAGAGAGCTCCAAACTTGCAGCACAGGATGGGTCTGGTTAAACAACTGGTGCAAATTTGTGACAAAAGATAAAATGTCACTCAGCACCACAATGCTGGCGGTGAAACCAGAGATGAGGAGAGGCACAGGTCACCATCTGAACAATTTAGTGTAGAACTAAAGTTTCTACAAACTTCCTGGTGAGGGAAAGGGAAAAGAAAAACTTACACAGAATGAAGGGAAGTTAGATATATTTCCTTTTGGGTATCCCATATCAATCCTGCTTGCTTTCTTCCGCCACCTGAACACCATGCTCT